TTAATTACAAACATTTTTTTCCTCTTCCATTTTCGCCTAAAATCAACTCTTGAAAAGATATATAATTAAATAGGAAGAAAAATATGACATTTTTCGAATTTTTTTAACATTTTGTGCCGCCAAAAGTTAAGCCCACGTTTTTTTTATCCGCATAGAAAAATTTTCATTTCTAGTGATATTTGAAAGCCAAAACGACAAAAATCTCTGTGGATATACGATTCACCCAAATATGGACTCTTTGAAACAGATACTGTCTGGACTACATAGCATATGAACCTTGTTTATAGATACGTCAGTCAGAAGTGGCTACATTTCGTTTTTCTTGTTTTACTTAATTTGATTTTTTTCTATATTTTGCTTCATGTATCTATTGTTCATTGGATCACTTTAGACAAAACGTCTTATAAACTAGAGTGTAAAGCTATTGGATATTGAAATAAAAAAAGGGAATTACATTTAATCAAATAACTCAGAAAATGTTTATAATATATTAAGGAGACTTTTAACAATAATTCACTGAACTACTATATAAATTTCTTAATTAGTGTAGGAGAGGAGAGGAGAGAGATGTTAGGAGACTCAGTTCCTCCGAGAATGCTAGAATTTACGCATATCTGAATGTTTTAGAAATGGAATCAATTTATTTAATTCCTAATGGTATTTCAAAAAATAATATTTTATTCGAAAAATGAGCCATTTTTTGTAATGCATCTAAAACTGTCTTAGCTCAATGAATGTAAAATAACTATTTGTTTCATGAAAAATATGTGTAGGAATCTTTTTTCAAAATTCTGTCTTAAATGCACTGCTTCAAAAACATCATTAATTTTCTGAGCGAGGGGCATAACCCCTAAAAAAATTTCTATGCCAACGCTTTTTAATCCTTGACGATTATGTGGTTTTTAAAACTGTATTTGGAAAAAAATATTCTGAACCAAATAGCTCAATTATTTTAGATACATTGAAATGTCTGATCAATTGAAAAACAGCTTTTTTAGGGATAAAAATATTGTACTGTATATCACTTTAGGTGCTTTGTTTATACTTTTATTTATTCATTTGTTTCATAATATTATTCTATTCTATTTCTTCTTCTTCTGAGATCCAGAAGGATTTATAATTTTTTTTTCTTAATCAACTCGTAAATACAAATATGTAGATGTTTGTCTATTTTTCTCAAAATTTCCCTTTTTCATTACAACATGCAGTATTATGTAGTTTGAAAAATTGAATATTAGTGTCAAATTAAAATTTTAATAGGTATGTGAAGAAAATATAATTTTGTGAAAAATAAAAAAAGCACCTATTCTACCTCTGAGTTGATATAGGAGTCGGTAACCCCTATCTAAATTTTTTATTTCACCAATTTCTCACATTTGTTTTTGTCATGAAAATTGTCTATGTAAACATAGAAATAATTCCTTAAAAACAAGCCAATTTTCACCAGCCGCCACTGACCTATTGTTATTCTAACCTGCCTTATTATTTTTTTCTAAATTGAGATGCGAAATTTTTAAGTGCAATGATTTGGTAAGTTAAGACAAAATGTGTAAAAGTTTAGAAAAATTTAGTGAGTGATTTTAGTTTGTCAAGTGTTTTAATTGACCTAAAGTTGTAAATAATAGCTAATAATAATTTTTGAAATTGTCATTTTTATTATGTAAATCACAACCTTTTTATAGCAGGCTTATCTGTATTTTGTGAAACAGTTTGACATGTATGACTTCAATAAGAAAAGATTGATAGGTACTGTTATTATTTTGGCAAACTTTTTTCATTGTTGTCCAGTCATTACCCATGACCCATGTGTCAGCTTATCGAGATGGCACAATGGAATGATTTATAGGCTTGAACTCCTTATTGTATGAGGGTTGCTTTTTATATATCGGGAATGGAAATAGCCTGGTGCTGCCATCTGACAATCGATATCTTTATCGTAAAGTTCGACTTTGTTCGGTATACTTATTCAAAGCGTTTTCTCATACAGGCGCTATTTGTGTTGTTTACAGTGACCTGAAAAATTAATTTCTGCCAAAAAATGGAATTAAGTTAATTCCATGCGATTATTTTTTACAACTTTTAACATGGATTATCTCAACAATAGTGCATCACTTAACTTAATTCGACTTTTGGTGATAAAACCAAAAACCACTGTATATCAGTGGTATACGCAATTCAATTGTGGCCCTGGTTTGCTCAATCAACAATTTTGTGAAGGTTGTCCGAAATCGGTTGTTGTTCCAGAAAACATTGATACTGTGTGTGAACTGATATTGCAAGATCAATATATGAATTATCGTGAGATTGAGACATCCTTGGGCATTAGTTAAACATACATTCGTAATGATGTATGAATATTTGGCTGCAGGAAAAATTTGTTCCTGTTGGATCTCACAATTTCCCATAATCCCACAAACGCTAGAAAAAAAGCTTGTCTTGATTGGTCAAAAGAAATGCTCAAGAAATCGATTGTGGTGCTTTAAAAAATGTCTATGACAATGCTCAAGAAATCGATCTATTACATCGTAACGGGTAACGAGTCATGGATCTTTGTCAATTCTAAATGATGTGCAACCATTTGTTTGCGTCTTTGGAAAAAGAATAAAAAAAGGGAAACCAATCGCCGAAGACGCATCATTCTCCACCAGTACAATGCGACTCTTACACATTGGCTCAAACAAAAGACTTTTTAAGAACTGAAAAAATCGAATTGATGAGTCATCCGCCATACAGCCCTGATTTGGCACCCAGTCTTTTTTTATTCCCATACATCAAAAATAAATTGAAGTCAATGTTTTTCAACGCCAGAAGGAGGAGTTGATGCATGTTTTGGAGGTACCTCAATCAGAATGGAAAAAGTGCTTTGAACATTGGTTAAAGTGCATGCAAAAGTGTATTGATCTTCATGGAGAATATTTTGAAAAACAATAAAGCCACATACGAAGATTAATTTCTTATTTTGTTGTCTATTCCTGAAATATAAAAGGCAACTTTCGTGTCCTTATATTATTTTGCTTGATCTATTGTATACTGCAACATAATATCTTTTTTTCATTATTTTTTTTTCTTGAAGTTATATATGAAAAGGAGTTTTTGCAAAGCTGCTTTAAAAATGATCTTGTAGTGGAAAAATTGATTTTTTTCCTTTAGGGGAATATGCAGGAGCTCAGGGACTCGGACTTCTTAGATTACATTCAACTTTCCGTCACGATTTAAAAATCTATGCTTCTGATGAAGGTAGAGTACAAATGACAGCAGCTGCTTTTGCTAAAGGCTTGCTGGCCCTAGAAGGAGAACTGACTCCAATTTTGGTACAAATGGTTAAAAGTGCAAATACTAACGGATTATTAGATAATGACTGTGATAGCAGCAAATATCAGAACATGTAAGTGTATATATTTATTTACAGTGCTAAGTATTCACTATTTGTTCATTATTTAAGGTGTAAGGCGCTTTTGCATGAATTAATGCAACTAGATAGGGACTTTAGTCCTGAAGATAGAGAAAAAATAAATCCTTGTAATTCATTGAGTATATCGGATGCATTGGATTTTGTGAAAAATCCTGTAAAGTGCTGCAAACATGTACATGAACTCATAAAAAATCTTATGGAAATTGTCCAAATTAAAAAGGAGGATTTAAAAACTAAAGGTCAGTAGAAAAATATTTTCGATCATCGTTACATTTAAAATATGATGGTTTTATTTTTTAGACGCAATTTTGTATCACGGTGAAACTTGGGAATTAATGGGTAGAAGATGGGGAAAAATTGAGAAAGATTTTTATACCAAAAACAAAACCTTTGACATCAGCAAGATACCTGACATATATGATTGTATCAAATACGATTTGCAACATAATCAGCATACACTTCAGTTCGAACAAGCTGAAGAATTGTATACTTATGCCAAATATCTTGCTGACATTGTTATTCCACAGGTAAGTAGATACATAAAACTTATATTAAAAAAAAAAACAACTATTTATGTATGAACGTGATCGTACTATTTATTATAATATATAATTAATAAATAATTCACTGACAAAATTCGGCAAAGTACTTTCATGATTTTTGGTGGACTTGTCCAAAAAAGTAGCCTTCATGGATTATTTTTAGTTTTCACGACATTCATTTTTAGAAGTCGGTACTGAAACAATAAGGTTTTTTCAATTCTTTGGTGAATTTTTTACATTTTATTGCTTATTTCTATTATCACACATATCAATACGTTCAAGGGCTCAAAATGCTCTGTGGATATCCAATTTATTTATATATTTTTTTAAATCTGAACGATAGTTTTTATACAATTTCTCAAATTCTATTTTCTATAACGACGGTACTACCTCAAAGAGCACACTTTTAGAAACAATTTGAAGCTTGTTCATCAAAGTTGGTTGCTCTGTTTGAAAATTACATCAAACCTGTAAAGTAAAAATTTGCAACGTGAACTCATCCAACCAAGTATAAAGATATATTCACTCCTTGTAACCCACCCTGAGTTTTTTGTATTAAATTGTTTTTCAACTAACACTTTATACTTATAGTTATGTCCAAAACTAACAAAAATCATTAAAACTTCTTTATTATACAATTTTTCTTCTAACTACTTATGGAACAAGGAATATGGTCTTACTGCTCAGGAAAAACTAACCATTGGCCAGGGCATTTGCACACCATTGCTGAAAAAAATTAAAGCCGATCTTCAGAGGAACATAGAAGAATCTGGAGAAGAAACGGTGAACAGGTTAAATCCTAGATATTCCCATGGTGTTTCTAGCCCTGGTCGTCACGTTAGAACAAGGTTATATTTTACCAGCGAAAGTCACATTCATTCGTTAATAACAGTTCTTCGTCATGGAGGCTTACTCGATGTAAGTAAAATAAAAACGTATAATATTTAACTGTTTTACTTCTCTTTTTTCATAAGTTTTTGTCTTATTACTGTACATTGAAAATATATTGGCCCTTCACTTCAAATATGAATTACAAAAAAATTAAGGAGTGAAAAGTTGTAGAGAATTTGTGCCTTCTCTGTATAGCCTCAATATGTATAGTCTTTCCGATCTCAATTGAAGAACCAAGAGGTTGGCAGTATATACCAGGTTCGGTCGCTGACGCAGCAACTCGGTATTGAAATATTTGAAAAACTTGTTCCCATATTTATTTAGCCATACCTATATACAGGTCTGGTCGAACTAAACGTGGAGGTATTAGAAATGTATACGCCCAGTTGAAGAATGCGGGCGCCGGCAAACTAACTTCGGAAAGACTAACTTATTAACCACAATTAAATTGCCCTTGTTCCCCTACTAGTACAGTCATTGAAGCTTTTTACCTCCAAATTCTTTGAAACTGAACTGATCGACTTGAAATTTAGCAGATAGTTAGAGAAAAGGTGGGTGGAATTTTTTTTTTCAAAAATAACGCTGGAAATCGATAGAGAATCAAATTTTGAACAAAAAATATTTGAAGAATTTTTTCAAGAAATCAATAGTTTTTTAGTTATTAACGATTGAAAAATTGGAATTTTGAGTGAAATAAAAAACAATTTTTCAAAGTATTTTTCGCAAATAACTCAAAAACTACGCATTTTCTTAAAAAAGTGTAATGAAGAAAATTGTAGCATATAAAATTTTATCTTATCGTTTTTTAAAAAGTGTTGTATGTACTATACAAAGCGAAATATGGTTAGTGGAAGGGGACTTGTTTTGGGGAGAATACTCAAATCAATGCATTCAACGTCAAATAACGGAAAAATGATTAATTTTACGTGTATAACGCTCCAGGAGTTTTTTGTAGTACTCAAAAAGACCTTCAAAATGCAATTATAAAAGTTAATTAGAGCAAAATTGAAGGAGTTATCGTCAAAAACAGATGGGAACAGTAAACGCTGTACAATTTCCATCAGAATTAAAATTAATCGTAGACCCTTTACAATTAGTTTTGTTTTAGTGTTTTCCATAAGATCCTGAAGTTAGACCGGTTTAGAATGCGTATTTTTTAAATAATGTACAGTAAAAGTTGAAAACGTATTTTTCATTATTCAAAAAAAATTGCCTGAAACTATGAAAGATACGTAAAAAATGATAAGACAACAAAAATGTAGCTTTTTTTCAATAAATATTTTACTTTTTTTTATTCCTATAGCATAAAAAATAAAGGAGATAAAGGAGCTTGAAGTATCCATTTTAGTGAAAAAACGACCTGTCTCGAGCCCTTCGATCCTTTNTATATCCACGGAGATTTTTGGCTTTTTGGCTTTAAAATATCACTAAAAATGAAAATTTTTCTATGCGCATAAAAAAAACGTGGGCTTAACTTTTGGCGGACCAATATGTTAAAAAAATTCGAAAAATTTCTTAATTTTCATCCTATTTAATTATGTATCTTTTTAAGAGTTGATTGTAGGCGAAAATGGAAGAGGAAAAAAATTTTTCTAATTAAATCTTACAAAATATGACTAGTTACAAATCGAATGAATCGTGATTATTATTGTAAAAATCAAAAAGATTGTCAAAAGTGGGGTTAAAAAACATTACTTTTTAGGGAATTTTTTTGGGGTCTTTAAGTTGGGTATAGGACCTTCATACTTGGCTCAAGAAAACTTCATGTTATGTAGAATCATCACACCAAAATTTCATCAAAATTGGTTAGATAGATTTTGCATAATAATTTTGCAATCCAGATTTTGAAAAAAAATTGCAAATTTTCAAAATTGTACACAGCAAAGACCAAGGCCCTTAGATACTTGAAATCTTAATCACATATAGAAGGGCTCTCAAGCTTTCAAACGGTTTTTGAAAAATTCGAATCCGTCGATTAGGAGAGCTCTGGTGCTTGTTTAAACATTGGTCTAATTTTTGTACTTATAAACAATTAGAATAACTTTGTGAATATTCAATCAAATCAAATTTTTTAAAGCAGGTTTTAAAAGTTCTTGGAAAGACGCTTCTTTAAAAAAAAACAGATGCCTTTATATTGAGTAATTTTTTGAACAAATTTCAGTCGATTTACTCATTATGTAAAACCACACTAATGTCGTTTCCAATACGCATTTAGTTTATGATGTAACCGATAGTAATTCTTTAGAAGCATTTAGAATTTACGCTGAAATGTTTCCTCATTATACCTTTATGTAGAAGTACGTACCACATCAACTTGATTGTGGTCGTCATCGTGAAATTAAAACAC